AGTTTACCTGCTGCTCCATATGCCTCACTGACTTTACCTGTAGGTCCTGCAATTTAAAGAGGAAGCCTGTAAGGGAAACACAAGCACACACACACACACACACACACACTCACACTTTGAGGAGCAAGTCATTTCAGTCTGTAAAAACACCTCATCTGTCAGCTGATCAGCGCATTAAAATTAGTAGTTTATTAGAATAGTGGTTTATGAATCAATACTACTCTCAGCTGATATGATAACCTTGGTTGGAGCACTAACTTTGTCTTTTTATCTAAAGCAAAAGGTCAAAATATTAGTTTGATGACACAACATGCTGGGTTTTTTTCTCATGTTTTACAGTGTTTACAGAAGTTTGAGGACAACACTGAGGCAAATACCTTGTACAGTACTCTTTGTGCCTTAGGTGAGTATTAAACCAGCTTACTGATTCCTCCCTACCTCGCTGGACTAGACTGAGAAGAGAAAGGTGACACCAGATTTTATGAAAACACTTTCGGATGACATAATTATACATAAATTCTTGTAATAATAATATGTGGTTATGCCTGCATATGTGAAGTAATCCATGCTGATTATTTTTATAGAGTTTATTTATTATGATTTGTTTATTATAATTCTCACAAACTAACTAATACTGTGCAGATAAAGTTAGCTATAAGCAAAGTTATGGCAGCTACATATATCAGCCAAATTCTATATTCTGCTTATTGATTTACTTTTTTTAATTTAACGTTTAAATAGTTGGAAACAAACAGGATGAGTGCAATCTACTTCATGTATATGTATATACGTATGTTCCCCATGAATTTAAAAACTAATGGTTATGATAACTGACAAACATGTTGCACGTGTGTTAAAATGTACAAAAGCAAACCTCATGGGGCATTTTTAATTGCTGCATAACTGATTTTGTGATGTTACTGACCATGATTCAGGAATATTGTCATATTTGGAAAATATTTGGAAATTCATATGATTTAAGAATTCGAGGACTACAGCTTGTTTTGTAGACCTCAGGCTGCCCAAGTCTCCTGAAACCCATTCTAGTGAGTGGTCGTATTACAGGTGAACTGTTAATTTTACTGTGTCTGAAAATTGCATGATTCTTCTTATGATGATTTTCTTTTTTCTGCTGTATTGCACATTTTTTTGCTTTTTTATGACTCTATTTTTTCAAGCAGTCTGTTAGCAGAGTTTGTCTTTTGACAGTTTCAACATAAACTGTCTTCATGTCATTGGATGTATTGTTTGAGTCTTCTGTTAAAAAGGAAACTGAATCCCTAAGGTAGTGGCCATGTTTAAAAAGTGCCTCAGAGAGGGGGAAACAGACAGGATAAGAGAATGAAAAGATATTTGGTACAGAAAAAGAAGATGGCTTTTATATGATTTCTACAGCAACACACGCACACCTACACAAAAGCTGCAGAGGTGCAGAGAGCATCACTTAGAGGCCCCTTAGCTGTCACAGCTTTATCCTCCATTACACATAAACACACACACACACACACACACACACACACACACACACACACACACACACACACACACACACACACAGAAATGCTTCTTTCAGTTGCACTCATTCACGTACATTCTGAGAGAAGCTATTAAAGAAATGTGCTTGAAGCCCTGCAGTGACTGAGCATAAACCAGTCGAGTTCTTCACACCAGCTCACTGACAGTTCGTCTCTTCCTGCTTCGCCGGGGGACCAGGCAGGGGGAGAAAATCACTCCAGCAGCTTAAAGGCACACTCCGCTTAACTGTTTTTGCTCCACTGATATGGTTTTTTCCTCCGCAATAGCAAAAACAAAAAAATATGAGAGAGAGACAGACAGACTAAAGACCAAATTGAATGTAATGATGCTTAAGGGTTGTCACAGGTTAGAGAGTTTTGTTGTAGTCAGAGCTGCTGGATGTTAGTTTTATTATAACAAAACTGTAGATTCTGAAGCCATTAATCTATCAATCCTTTTGTGGGTTACAAGCTTCAGCTGAATATCTAATCCAATAGACCAACAGTGTCTTTTCGCAATGTGGAAGTCCTAAAAGTCAAGTTTTATTCATCTTTTTTTATTAAGTAAAACTACAATTCACATGCTGTTTCACATCAACTCACCGAGTGTTTGTCCTGCCAGCACCCTGCCGTTCTCCCCAATCACAGCTCCCCTGGCATGCCTCTCACTGGCGTACTGGACAAAGGCATAGCCCTTGTGCACAGAACAGCCGAGCACACGGCCATACTTGGAAAAGATGCTCTCAACATCAGACTTCTTGACCACCGCTGTATTCAGGTTGCCAATAAACACCCGTGAATTGATGGACTTTGGGTCTGTCTTGTTGGTCACATTACTGGTCTGTACCTTCACTGACATCCTGGAGAGAATGGCGATGGAGGTAAGTGCCAAATGGATGGATTGGAAGGCAGCAATGTAGACAGACAAGTATCTGGAGAGAGAGAAGATACATTTTCAGTTTCAGTGACAGATAATAGAGGACAGCTGCAGGAGTCTCACTGACAGACATTTAAGAATTATTCTCATAACTGAGCAAAGAGGTAAATGCTGATTTCTTTACCAACATTCTTCTTTTTCAACACACTAAATTCAGGGTAGACTGATGTCCCATCAAAAACACAGACAACAGCTGTATATGTATGTATTTCTCCACACAATACCAACCAATTACTCTAGTTATGCTGATTATTTTCTGAATTCTTCTTACGTTTTTTCCCTCTCCTCCCACTTCTTTTCTACTTCATTAGTCATAAAAATTGGGCCTTTAATTTTAGACTGAAAGAAAATTAGTTTTCTTTGTTGAATAAACAGGCACTCGATCATTATTCATACAGATTTAAAGACATCGGTGCACATGATATGACTCATTACAAGGATTTGAAAGGTTATTTTCTAAAATTCAAAGTTCTTTTTTGCAAAAATTCATCTACATGTATAAACATTTCTTCTTTGATGAAGCCTGTTTTTATTTCGGGATCAGATGATCCTAAACCATTTGTTAGTTATGCTGCTTTAGGTTCAAACCACTTTCTATAATCCACTCAGTCTTCTTCTTCTTCTCCTATAGATTTATTAATTAAAGAGAATAAATACAGCAAATACTGAAAGAACAGCCGATCAGCAATAACTGCAGTAACTAAGCTCTTCTCATTCCTCTAATAAAGTCTTTCACAAAACAGAGACTAAAATTGTATTTACTTATAATTATGTGTACAAATTACTAACCACTTCCATAAGTGAAAAGGAAAGAACAGCTACAGTCTAATCTGAATATCTAGAAAAACAATGATAACAAGCAACAATGTTGATCTGATCCAATAAGTTATGGTGGCCCAAAATGCAGCTGTTTTATCACGAGACAACCAAAATCGATGACAGAGCAGAATTTGAAAACTAATATAACAAGCATCACGTAGCAATCACCACCCTCTCCACAAAGTGATCTCCTCCTTTTATCTGTGTTAATAACAGCTGGATAAATGAGTAAAATGAAAGATGGGAAAAAATGATAAATAAGGAAAGTAAAAAACATTTAAAACATAAAAGAAGATTAAAAGGGTCAAAGAAAAAACACTATCAATCAGTAACATAAGAAGAACGAGGAAAAACAGAACAGGTGTGTGGACAGTGAAGCATCAAAACAAAGAAGGGGAGAGAAGAGAAATGCTGATGGCAAAAATAAAAGTACTGGCAGCTCCCAGTGTTATCCCTCAGCCTCCTAGTAGATGCACCTGTGTTTTGAAAATCCTAGTGGATTTTCAGAAAAGCTGATCTTGAGGCCAAGGCCATGGGATTTGAACTAGATGCAGCTGTGGTATCAAATTTAATTCATTTTTTCAATTTATTGAGTTCACAGGATTTTCAGGAAATTTGACTTCTGACCTTAAACTTGGGTTCAAGGCCACAGGGATTCACCTATCAGTTTGAAAGTCTTATGTGACCTTGTTTTTGACTTATCAAATTTATAAACTTGGTGGTGCATGCCCCCCGCCCGTCCGAATACTGCACATGCACGGAAGGATGTGAAACCAAACAAACTTAATCGAAAGTTTAGGAACACTTTAATCTTTCTTTAGAGTCAAAGTACTGATACTTCTGTCCTCCACACCCAAGATTGCTTTGCAAACAGGAACTGCTGATATTTGATTCATACCAGTTAACAGTTTCCAAAAACCAGTGTTAGAGTTTAAGCCCTAAACAAAGCCCTAAGTGAGGAGATCTCAGGTAACTTATCCACCATTGAAGAACTTTTAACTACTTCTATCACAAACCGCTGTAAAGCTCCAGGAGATCATTGCTCACTTGAAATTTGATTCATCATGGCTTCATTGTACTTGGCATTCAGATATAAACTTGGCATTTACAAAAAGCCAAGGGAATCATGCAAATGAGTGAGTGATTTATGTAAACTACTGATAGCAGAGTAGTGGGAGTGAAAACTGACAGATGAGTCAGCAGACAGGAGATGGAAAAATGTAACTTGTTGTTCTGTCAACAATGACATGAAACAGAAGAACTTTGGTACACAGAAAACAGCGCTAAGTATAATAGATGAAGGAGCTCAAAGTATTCTGTGGGGGCTGGAAATCGTGCCAAACACCAGAACAATACAAATATTCAAAGCTTTGTCAGACTCATCAATTATCAACAAACTTTTGAGTTATCTTAGACCTTCTGTATGGACATTGGAATACTGGTTAGAACAATGACCCCTCACCCACTGCATATTGTATAATACACAAAGAGGCACAAGTGATTAAAAAAAACAAGGTAATTCTGATAAATATGTTGGTGTACACTTTTCTGTAATTATAACTTTGGTCATGGTATATCTTCTCCTTTCCTCTCTATCAATAGAAATATCCAGCAATGAGTTAGAGTTCTAGGAAGCAAGATTTTTTTTGTGAGTTCGTGCTGTGTGAGTGTCTGTGTGTGTGTGTGTGTGTGTGTGTGTGTGTGTGTGTGTGTGTGTGTGTGTGTGTGTGTGTGTGTGTGTGTGTGGTGTGTGTGTGTGTGTGTGTGAGAGAGGGGGGGCATGTTTGTGAGTATTAAACCAATTTTTTAGTTTCAGACCTGCAACTCGAGAAAAGTTAAAAGGTTAAAAAGTCAGGTAAAACCAACTTCCTTTGTGTACATGTGCGTGTGTGTGTGTGTGTGTGTGCATTGATGATCTCTCGTCCTTTCTCCACTGACCTTCCCAGTGACAGAGCTGTCTTAAAACTGATTGGTGAAACTCTAATAAATCAAATTGAGCTTGGCCTTGAGGACCTGTGTGTGTTTATGGCTGTGTGTGTATGTGTGTTTGTTTGTTTTAGAGGTCCACAATTAGTGGACAACAGAATAGTGTTGATCCAGCACATCCAGTGTGTTTATGTGTATGGGTGTGTGGGGGGTGGTAAATGCATTAAGAAAAATGAATGACGACTTTGGTAAATGTAAACAGGTTTTGACCTGTTTTGAATTGCGCATACATAACAAGGTTAAGGTCCTAACAATATAAAGCACCTAGAGGCAACTGTTGTTGTGAATTGACGCAATATAAATAAAGCCAAATTGCACTGAACTGAATTGAAGTGAAGGTTAGGATTTTATTTATTTATTTTGTTTGCCATTAATATAGCATTACTGCACTCTACTGCAGGAACTTATCAACATCCCACAGATGTAAATTACTACAAAAAATTTTAGGCACTAGAAATATGTTTATAGTCTTATCCATCCCACAATACCATTAGCAAGGCATTTAACTGGTAATAAGGTCATACTACAGCATGAAAGCATACAAACAACATAATTATAGCCATACAGTATATTTTCAGCAAAAGGAAGATGAAAAACCCTCTAAAAAATAATTGATTGACAGTGTATGTAGATACTGAAATAGCCTAGAATTCCTGAAATAGCTTTCTGGTACATAACAAGTGTTCCTGTGCTGGTACACATCTTATTAGCATAAAAGGTTATACAAAAAGTACACAATGCACTATGAAGAGGCTCTCACTGTACTTGGATGAGGGTCATAGGATCAACATTATCAAGCATTAAACAACAAAATGCAAACACATTATATGTCTCTGCTTATCCTCAAGTTCATTAAGCAAATTAACATCCTCTGTTTGAGTTTTTTGGATCAATGACACATGCATCCAATGAATCTGAGAACTGACTCTAATTTTAATATCAATAATAGCTTTTAAGCTAAAATGAGCTTCAAGGCATAGTTGTTATTTTATTTTTTTTAAACAGTTTGGATCACAACCTTAATTATTGCAGTGATTCTGAAAACAAAGTTCTTTTAAGGCAAAGATGCATGTCAGGGATGCATCTTTGCCACTCAGCCGTAAAAGTCAGTTTGAATCTTAGTTATTTCGACCTCAAGGTCAAAGCAAGTTGTTTGAAAATCTTGTGACCAGAGCAATCAACCTCAAAACTCAGCACATCTGTGTTGAGCTAAGTTGTATAACATTTTTAATGGCAGAGGCGCAGTATTACGAACTGTAATAAAAACAAGAGAAATATTTGAATACAGATTTAGATTCTCAAAAATGAATATTTTACATTTTCCAAGGATGTCACAGTGTTGCCACTGTTGCCAGTTTGTGTTCCTCTGCACACAAAGGTCTTCAAAAGAGCGCCATACTTGCTATCAAAAAGACAAATAAACCTTAGACCAAAACAATACAAGTGTTTCAATGATGTCAATGACACACATACACATACTGCATATCTATTTAAAAAAAGTAATGTGTTAATTTAAATTTTTATTTGTCATTGATATTTGGAATTTTTACTCTTTTCATCTTGTAGAAATAAGACATTAACCACATTTGACACACTGTTTATTTCCCTGAAAACTCATGTCATGGCTTGACCTAGTGCCCAAAACCTCAAGAAAAAACAAGCATCCATGGTAGGTGCTCTAAAGCAAACGATACAGACTCTGCGAGATTAAGCTGACCTTGTGCCAAGTCCAGTGCAGATCAATGAAGTCAAATCACCCCACAGTAATATGAAATGGACTTACTCCCTGCTCTGTGTGTGCAGGATTAACATGCAGATAAACTCCCCAGGTTCAACGATGCGCATTCATTAAAATGTCCACCTTCTGAGTCTTGCAAGAGAAAAGCCCAGCTTTACACTAAAATTAGCTTTATTTCCTGAGTGTTTAATTATACCAAAGTTGGACATGTGCACGCACATAACTGTAAAAAAATAAAAAAAATAAAAAAAATCACCCAGGATGTTTCTCTCAGTGATCCCATGTGTGCAGGATTAGCAATTAAAGCTAACACCATACGGTAATTGGCTGTGATTATAACGATGGAACAAATGCGATCTCCAGGCACTGTTGGAAATATCATAATTAGGATTTTAGCACACACACACACACACACACACACAATTTGCATGCATCAAAATCTTGATGCTGAT